CCATGGAGCTCGTCAGGCTCGGGCAGGCCTACTTCATGATCCGGGACACGACGCTGTACGACGCGTCCTCCAACTCGAGGTTCCAGTGTAGGGCGCTCAACATCAACGAGGACCTAGGCCAGGTCAAGTGCGTCTTCTCCGATAAGACCGGCACGCTCACTCAGAACAAGATGGAGTTCCGGTGCGCGAGCGTCGGCGGCGTCGATTACAGCGACATCGCACGGCAGCAACCTGTTGGTAGGAGGACTAGCTCTCTTCTCTCTTATCCTGAATTCTTTCCATTCGGGGCGGGAAGCCATGGATGGGGAGCTGATGGCTTCTGATACATGGCAGAGGGTGATCGGATTTGGGTGCCCAAGATTCCGGTGAACGTCGACGGGGAGATCGTGGAGTTGCTGAGGAATGGGGGAGAGACAGAGCAAGGAAGGTACGCCCGGGAGTTCTTCCTTGCTCTTGCGACGTGCAACACCATTGTTCCCTTGATTCTTGATGGCCCGGACCCGAAGAAGAAGATCGTCGACTACCAGGGCGAGTCCCCGGACGAGCAGGCGTTGGTCTCCGCCGCCGCCGCGTATGGTTTCGTGCTAGTTGAACGAACCTCCGGGCACATTGTCATTGACGTCCTTGGTGAGAAGCAGAGGTACAGATCGAGACCACACCCTTGTTGCGATTAAAATTTTTGGCGCTTTTGGTGGTGCTCCACTGAGATTAACAGCTTGAGGAATAGGGACAAAAGAGGCGTGCGGTTTTTTATTCTCGTGGTATTGGTAGGAGACTTTGCTGTTAGTTCATGTCTGTTAGTAGTTGAAACTTTGTTGGTTTGTGGCTGTTGCTTGCATTCTCTTTTTTTGGTTCTAGTGCATAAATGTCAATGCTATTTGTAGTAGTAGTTCAGTAACTGAACAACTGCAGGAAGTGCTTCATTTTGGTTGACTTTTGTAGGTGGATGCAATTGGTTCAGTTACTATTGTTTGTTGCTGCAATATTGCTCCATTTTGCTCTAATATCTTTTTGCGTGTTGTAATTTTCTTGTTCTGATAAACATTGGTGTATGAATTTCACTTAACTTTTATTTATTTAGTTTCCTTTACTTGACTTTCATGTGCAGATTTGATGTTCTTGGACTTCATGAGTTTGACAGCGATCGCAAGAGGATGTCTGTTATCATTGGCTGTCCTGACAAAACTGTCAAGCTGTTCGTAAAAGGCGCGGATAATTCGATGTTTGGAGTCATCGACAAAACAATGAATCCCGATGTTGTTCGTGCAACTGAGAAGCATCTCCATGCATATTCCTCACTGGGGCTGCGTACACTTGTTATCGGTGTCAGGGAACTTAGCCAGGAAGAGTTTCAGGAGTGGCAAATGGCTTATGAGAAGGCTAGTACTGCATTGCTAGGAAGAGGAGGCCTACTCCGTGGTGTGGCTGCCAACATCGAACAGAACCTGTGCCTATTGGGAGCCTCTGGTATTGAAGACAAGCTGCAAGATGGTGTACCCGAGGCGATCGAAAAACTCAGGGAAGCTGGGATTAAGGTTTGGGTACTAACTGGTGACAAGCAAGAAACTGCTATCTCCATTGGCTTTTCCTGCAAGCTTTTGACAAGGGAGATGACACAGATTGTAATTAACAGTAACTCAAGAGAGTCATGTAGAAAGAGTCTTGATGATGCAATTTCAATGGTTAACAAACTCCGGTCATTATCAACGGACTCACAAGCTAGAGTCCCTCTCGCTTTGATCATTGATGGTAACAGCCTTGTCTACATTTTTGATACAGAACGGGAAGAGAAGGTAATCAATCATACTATGTTTCTGAGTCATCCCAATGAATTCTATTATAAACACATAAATTGCTCATGAATTATCGATTTTGTTGCAGCTTTTTGAAGTGGCAATAGCTTGTGATGTTGTTCTATGTTGCCGGGTAGCTCCCCTACAGAAGGCCGGTATTGTCGATCTAATAAAAAAGCGGACAAGTGACATGACTTTGGCTATTGGAGATGGTACAGTTTTTTTTTCTCGCCAAATATTCAGGAATTACTTGATTTACTATATTTTTCTCAATCTGAAAAGAGGTACCTTTCCAGGTGCAAATGATGTATCCATGATTCAAATGGCTGATGTTGGTATTGGCATCAGTGGACAAGAAGGAAGGCAAGCTGTTATGGCATCAGATTTTGCCATGGGACAATTCAGATTTTTGGTTGACCTGTTGTTGGTTCATGGTCATTGGAACTACCAGAGAATGGGCTACATGATCCTATATAACTTCTACAGAAATGCTACTTTCGTATTCGTGCTTTTTTGGTAAGTGCGCTCCTATTTTTGCTATGTTTGCTCGCCTGCTTATAATTATCAAATATTAACTCCTTAATGACTGCAGGTACGTACTTAACACTGGTTTCACCCTGACAACAGCAATAACCGAGTGGAGCAGTGTGTTATATTCTGTGATCTATACTGCTGTCCCAACTATCGTTGTTGCGATTCTCGACAAGGATCTGAGTAGGAGGACATTGTTGAAATACCCCCAACTCTATGGTGCAGGGCAGCGCGAGGAGAGTTACAACCTAAGGCTGTTCATTTTTGTCATGCTGGACTCCATCTGGCAGAGCCTCGCAGTTTTCTTTATCCCTTACCTTGCATACAGAAAGAGTACAATCGACGGTGCGAGTCTGGGAGACCTCTGGACACTAGCTGTTGTCATTCTTGTGAACATTCACCTTGCAATCGATGTCATCAGATGGAACTGGATCACGCACGCAGCAATATGGGGCAGTATAGTCGCAACGCTGATTTGTGTCATGGTCATAGACTCCATACCGATATTGCCTGGTTTCTGGTATGCACTCATTTGAACTATTTTGGTTGCTTTTTTTTCCCCGGATAAATGTATACCTGGTTGCTGACTCTGCATTTGTATGACAGGGCAATATACAAGGTGATGGGAACTGGACTGTTTTGGGCATTGCTGCTCGCGGTAATTGTGGTTGGAATGATTCCTCATTTTGTCGCTAAGGCCATAAGGGAGCATTTCCTTCCGAATGATATTCAGATTGCGAGAGAAATGGAGAAATCTCAAGATTCTCATGATGTCACTCATCCAGAAATTCAGATGAGTACAGTGGCACGAGCTTAGGTTAGGGGTCACATACTTTTTGTTCATTCAGATAGGATAGCTCTACACCTTTCTTTGGTTCTTTTTACTGTGTGTATACTAGGCAATTCTTTCTGTAGTAAGCACATTTCTTGTTGCTTGCTGCCTTTGTCAGCTATCCAAAGGATAGGTTTCTTTGTACCCATGCTGTGTATCCGCCTGCCAAATTTTGTTGATTTATACCAAAAAAGAAATCATACAGGAGTAAACTGTACATTTTCAGAAATTGCCCCTGTTGATTCCTAACCAGAGTAAGTTCTTTTTGCCGGGTCCAGAGTTAGTTATTGGTACTGGTAGTGTTAATGATGGTTGCACGTTTTCATTCCGTAAAGATTTATTGGTTGAGGGGCAACCGAGCAGCAAAATACGTAACTGATCCTGTTTATCAGCCAAAAAAAAAAATCTGAAATCAAACCTATTGACCATCAGAGTTCAACTTGACAATAAAATCATGCAGGCTGTTTCGCCGTTCTTTCGACAGTTTCAGACTTCAAGTCTTCAACGCAGCTTGTGTATTGGTTCATTTTAGCGAAAAACATTCGAGAGCTACCTAAAAACAAATGATTAGCAGTCTCATACACGCAACAACAAACAAAGGAATCTTTAAAATTCTCTTCGGTTGTTGTCACTAGGTCAGCTGAAAGTACCATGATGTAACCAGCTAATTGCCTCGTCAATCCATCAGATAAGTTACAGACTTGGCAGTATATTTAGTATACCCAAGTTTGTTTGGGTTTAACCAACGTTTTCTCAAAGATTCTACGGCACTATAAATCATTGGCCGTCTCTGTTCAGTACTATAGCAAAATTTAGTAGTTTCAAGGTAAAGTTGTATTTGGTTTGGTGTCAGTTATAGCCAAACTTTTGTTAGATTCTAGTAAATTGGTACCAATTGGATGTTGGCAATGCTAATGGCTTATCCTCAAACTGAAATATCACATTTACTATTCAAAGGTTGGACATGTTTTGGCATAAAATCCGAAACGACTCCAACTATTTGTGTTTCACAAATGACAGTAAAATTCATCATCTGCCTGGAAACGGAATTGTTTGTAGAAAAACAGTATACAGTCATGATGGGTCGTCAGAGCACAATCGTCAGTGTAATTGTTTTGGATGATAGTTTTTTCATGGGAACGGGTAGAGAGCTCCTGCAATTCACTATAGAAGAGAGTCGATCCAGTTTATAAGAAAAACCGGATCCAAAAACCTCACCACGCTACGGTTAATTTACGAAAAACCGGAGAAATCCCTCGCATTGACACATTGAACTAAAGAAGGTGAACGGTGTCCAAGGATGTCGCCGTCACTAACATCGTCAAGCCGAGCAAGACTTTTGCCTCAGAGTCCCACCTAACCATAGTGACCAGAACGGAAGCCACTAAACACCACATGCACACCGAAGCTACTTGCACTATGTACACCACCACCTACACGCTGCAACGACCTGCACCACGGCCAGACAACGCTTTTGACAACCTGCTCCACCTAGCTGGATCGGCGTAGCTCTAGCAATTAGCTGTGGAACCAAACCGTCGCTGCCACCCACTAGACAGTCCCCACATGGAGACCACCATAGCAACTGGATCTGGATTTGTAGAGATAGAGAGGGGAAGGTAGAAGGAAGAGGGAGGGAGGAAGGATGGATGGGGGTGGGGAGGGAGGTGTCACCGCATCGCCATCGCTGGCGGTGGTGATGCTAGCAGGACGTGGCCGGCAAGCCTCCGCTCGGGTCTATTCGCCTTCCGTGTCACCCAAGGAGAATGGCACGGGAGCCTCCGCTCTCAGAAACTACCAGACCCAAAAACATTCAGAAGAAAAATGAGTCATTAACACAAATGTGAAGAAAATATAATAATAAAAAACCGTAGCATACTTTCGATACTACAATACTATTAGAATTCAGAAGTACTCCTTCTATCCCATAATATAAGAGATTTTAAGTGGATGTGACACATCCTAGTACAACGAATATGGAATGATGTCTCATATCCATCCAAAATCCCATATATTATGGGACGGATGGATTACTTCAACATTCCCTCTGTGAATTGACCTTCTCCGAGTCAATAGCCCTGCCCCTGAATAGTACAATTTTCGCTGTCCTACTGTCCCAATTCACTCGATTGACTACTTTGATTTTGATGAACCCCTTAGCATGGGACAGTGCTCTATAGTTTGTTAATCCACAAATCTCTAACATGTGAGTACAATTGTGTTGCAAATACTACAGTTGCAAGTACTAATAAAGGCAAATCCACAAATCTGCTGTCACGGTCAGTCAAGCGGAAGCATAGACCACCTCTGGTTCGCGCCACCGTTCCAAGGAAACACGATAATCGGCGTGCCGTCGTGCCTGCCGCCTCCCGCCGCGTCAAGGACGAGACTGACGTCGCTGACGGTGCGGATGCAATGGAATCCCTCGCCGACATTGTCGCTACGCGTCCAGAGCAGCGCCACGTCCACCGAGTCCGGGCCGTGGCCGACGAGCTCAACCTGCAACGCACAAGGAGTTACAAGCAGACGCCACACATCACACGTTCCGCTCAACGGAATGAGCGAGAAACTGTGTGCAGGCCAAGACGTACCGGCTGCTCTTTGTCAGCAGAACGCTTCATCGCCTTCCCGGTGGACGGGTTCAGGAGGAGAAACGACCGGTGTCCTTCCTCGTCGGTCACGCGCCCGGTGTTCCGGAAGCTCACGGTCCAATGCTGCCAAGAGAGCACATCAATTGGCCGTAAGACGCAAAGCAACTGGTAGTACGCAGCGCGAGACTGGTACCTGTTTGGGGTCCTTGTGGTCGATGCGGGCGAGTACAACCGCGCCGTGACGAACGGTGAGGCACACGACGTGGACGGGCGGCTCGTGATCTGGCTCGGCGCCGATGCATGGGGCCATCCGCCATAGTTGGTTATCGCCGCCGTTCCACCGGAACAGGATGAGCCGCGTGCCGTCGCGCGCACCGTCGCAGAGAGGGACGGCCTCCTCCGCGTCGAAGATGTAGTCGGCGTTGTTGATCATGTGGATGCGGTGGAAGCCGTCGCCCGTGTCCTCGCTTTCGGTCCACAGGACCGACTCGTCCAGATACCCCGGCTCGAACTTGACAAGACGTACCTGATGAAAGAAATGCACGGCTGACATACTACAGTAGTACTTACTCTCTCCGTCTTATAACATACTAGCAAACTAGAACTGAATGGGACATTTCATAGTACAACGAATCTGAACAGATGCATGCCCAGATTTGTTGTACTATGAAATGTCTTGTCCGGTCCTAGATTGCTATATTATGAGACGGAGGGAGTAATTCATAAAAAAAAAACTTTTAGCCTACGGCTATGTTTAGTTCCCTTCGAACTTGTAACTTTTTCATCACTCAAATATTTGGACATATGCATGTAGCATTAAATGTGGACGAAAAAAAGACCAATTGCACAGTTTGCATATAAATTGCGAGACGAATCTTTTGAGCCTAATTACGCCATGATTTAATAATGTGGTGCTACAGTAAAAATTTACTAATGACGGATTAATTAGGCTTAATAGATTTGTCTCGCAGTTTACAGGCAGAATCTGTAATTTATTTTGTTATTAGTCTACTTCTAATACTTCAAATGTGTTCCGTATACGTCAAAAAACCGTATAGTACTACCTCTGTCCGAAAAAGACACTTTATGTGTGACTATTTTTTAAAAATATATATATTTCAAATACTCCCTCCGTTTCTAAATATTTGACGCCGTTGATTTTCTTAAACATGTTATCATTTGATTCATTGTTAAATATACTTATATGTATACATATAGTTTTACATATTTCACAAAAGTTTTCCCTCCGTTCTAAATATTTGACACCGTTGACTTTTTAGCACATGTTTGACAGTTCGTCTTATTCAAAACCTTTTGTGAAATATGTAAAACTATATGTATACACAAAAGTATATATTTAACAATGAATCAAATGATAGGAAAAAATTAATAATTACTTAATTTTTTTTAATAAGACGAATGGTTAAATATGTTTTAAAAAAATCAACGGCGTCGAAAATTTAGAAACGGGGGAATATGACGGACGGTTAAACGTTGGACACGAAAATCCACAACTACATTTAGAATAGGACGGAGATAGTATTATCTTCGTAGAAAAAGAATCAACTTCTATATCAAGATTTAATCTATAGACAGAAGTTTTTTACGGGATAGAAAACCTAACAGAAGTACGAGGAGCATGAGTGGTAGGCTGGTAGAACACTGCAGGAGAGCATGTACAATAGTAGGCTATAAGCCAGCTATAAATATATTTTAAAGAGAGAAAGGAAGAGAGAGAAGAGCAACGGATTACAGATATGTAGCTAGCTACAGTAAGAACTTTAAGACGTACTGGGTGTATGACAGGTAGGTCTAGGTATTAATAGTATAGTAAACAACTATTGTATAAATTGGCTATTATATTGATTATAGATGATTTGAAGCTAGTAGTTGTTTATACTATTAAACTTGCTATTACCGGGTGATTGTAACCGAACGAGTGCTTGATGGCTTCGCCGGTGGCCTTATTCACGAGCGCGAACGCCAGACGGCCTGCCTCGTCCTTGAGCCCGGCACTGTATCGTACGTCCTTGTGCCAGACCTGCACTCAAGGGTGCAAATTTGAAAGATCTTGTTGAATCTGAGTACAAAGGTGTATCCGTACGTGCATGCCCTAGACAGGGAAAGGATGTGAACGTGACGCAGAAGCGAAGTAAAAGAGAAGAAGGCCTTGCCTGACGGTCGTCGCGTGGGTCGGACTTGGCGAGGATGACCTCGCCGTTGACGATGGCGAGGCTAAGGTCGTCGGACGCGCGGCACTGGATCCTGAACGCGTGTTCCATGCCTGGTGATGGTGATGGCGAGCCCCTCCGGGTGCAAGCAGAAGTGCAGATGGGTTTTGTACTCACCTGAAAGATGACCGGTGGATGATTTCGGTTGGCACTAGTTAGCACTTGGAGACCCGAGATGTCACGAACTACAGAGATGAGTATAAGACACACCGGATCAGATAAATCTTCCTCAGGGCCCAGGTTAGGTGGCGTAAAGAGATGATATGGACCGCAAGATCAGAGGCCTCTCCGACCCGTCTCGAGCGTGCGTCGTCATGGATTTTGTGTGGAATAAGTCCACAATGAGTCCCTTAACTAGTGATAGAGTCTGATTAAAACCGGTGCCTAAACCACAACACCAAATATCTCGAACCCCAACTATTAAAACCGGTGTAATTTGACTCCCTTAACGGTTTTGCTGGCATATCGCCTATATGGCAGTGTTGACGTGGTCTTCGTCCCATGCAACATTAACGTGACGCTTTTGTGACATTAGAATTAAAAAAATATATGGGACCCACATGTCATTCTCTCTCTTTTCCTTCTTCCTTCTCCCTCCATCTCCCTTATCTCTCGCACTCTCTCCCCTTTCTCTGCGCATGCCTCACTAAATCACTATCCTTCTTCATCAACCCGTCCTCTCCCTCCCTCTCCTCTTCTTCTCTAAATTTAACACGTTGTTTTTTATCATCTAGTTCAGTTAATCGAAATCACCAAACTAATTGAATCATTGTTAAAGCCCAATAAAAACCTATACAACACACCGACCCAATAACCAACTAGAGAAAACCCTACCCTTCCATCGCCCATCCCCACCTCTCCTCGAATCCTCACCACCTGCGCGGTGCGCCACACTATTCCTCCAAGCCATGCCGCATTTGCTGCTGCCTCCTCCTCGCACCACAACCGCCTTTTCCTCCCCATGCCGTGGATGTTGTTGCATGCACCTAATTCAATCCAACAGGGCGACGCAACGACAGCTTCATAGAGACGCCGCCACACCTCCAACAGGTGTTGGTGGAGGCCATAGTTGCCGATGGACTTGCGGCGGGAAACCACTCACAAATCCAGCTCCATCATGATAGAGCAACAACCGCCGTCCACCTGCCCATATCCAGTGCCACATCCTGTCGTGAAGACCCCGTGCGGTCGTGCCAGTGTCAAAGCCCGCCTCCATGTGCTGCTCGTACCATTAACTCCTCTCTTGTTAGCATGCACTTCTTTTTTTTTTGAGAGGGGGGGGGGGGGGGTGGAGGGGCGGGTTCATATCTAAAATTCTGGATAGCTTATGTGTATTTTTTTTTCATCTCAAGAATCTCGATTTTGACTGAGACCAAATTGCTCAGTCTTCAATTTCTGTAAAGACAGATTCAGTCTCCACTCTTGAGTTTCTGATGACTGAAATTTCAGTGAAGACCAAGACCTAATTGCTCGATCTAACCAAATGCCCACCCCTACAGCTTAGCATCGCAAAGCAATCATGCTAAGCTTTTCAGTTTTCTCATGTCACGCCAACCACATTATATAGACTGATGGACGATGTTGTTTTACTATATCAGTCCGACTGATGTCATCAAAAGATTCAGATCTTTTAAACTTAAGAACCAAAAAAGTTTAAAAATCTATTTAAAATCATAAAAACGGACACTAAAAGATCTGCAATAAATTACGATGTCTGGGCGACATGCATATCATGGTTCTGTTCGGCTGCACGCTTGTAGCCGCTGTAATGTAGCCATACAGCTGCACGCTGATACAAAGTACTGTGAAAGATGGCTGCACCACAGCCCAAGTAGTGCAGCCGAACATACAATTTTCGGTACCACATTCTTCCAATTCAGTCAATCGACTCTTTAAAAAAGCATTTGCTGCTTGACAATTTGAAACAAAACTTGAAAATAGATTTTGATAAAAATAAAAGAATTGAGGATTTGCCGAACCATAGTATGGGGCAGTACTGCTCCATAATTTATCACTCCATGCATCTATAACATGCGAGTAGAAATGTGTTGCCGCTGATAATAGAGCAAATCCAAAATTCTGCTGCTACAGTCAGTCAAGCGGAAGCATAGACCACCTCTGGTTTGCACCGCCGTGACAGGGGAACACGATAATCTGCGTGCAATCGTGCGCGCCGCCGAATTCAGGCACGCCTCCCGCCGCATCAAGGACGAGACCAACATCGCTGACGGTGCGAATGCAATTAAATTCCTCTCCGAGGTCGTCGCCGCGCGTCCAGAGCAGCGCCACGTCCACCGAGTCTAGGCTGTGACCGACGAGTTCAACCTGCAGCGTTCAAGCCAGGTGCCAAGGAGATTAAAAACCCACAACATCACGAGTTCTGCTCGATAGTTTAGGAAGAAGTAGGCCGTGTTAAAATAATTTCCTATTACGTGGATGCACATACACATATTATAGCTATTATGACAGTTACCTTAAAAAATAAAGTGATCAACTAAAGTCGTATTGGGGCCAAAGCATCTAATTATACGGGTCATATCCCAAAGTAGGGCACGAACCAATCCACTGTATCCCGTCAATAGTTGGAGGAATTAGGTTTGCCTATTGTTTTGGAAGATCGAAACCCTCGCCGCCGATTCAACTCACAACCATGGCTACAGTTTCTGGTACGCTTCCGTATCTTAAGTTATAATATGGATTTATGATGATGTTCTAGTTCTTACATGTGAGATTCATAAATTATTAATTCTAACAAGTGGTATCAAAGCAACACATGTAGGATTAGAATCCAGCGATAATTTTTTTATTTAATTGCCGTTTAATTAGTCTCTGGTCTTTTGCGTTTGCTCGATTCCGCCGAGCATGTCGCATATCTGGGTTAAAGTTTTATTGATCTGTTTAGCCAAGTCGTCGAGTTATTGAATTAGCAAGTTCGATTCGATTCCGAGTCGGCAAAGCTGGTTTTGTCTTATTAATTTTTCTGGTGTCCGTATCCTATAGATCTGTTTGTTCCCTAGTACTATGTGCTAATCAAATTTCAGTACAGTAATTAGATTGTTATGCTTGCATGCAATTTTGGATATTTTATTTATTGGCACAATACACGAAGGGGTACAGTATTAATATTTTTTTAAGTATATCGTACACGTATGCTTATAGTTGGCACTAGATTGCTAATTATATGGTAGACTAAAGCTAGTATAATAGGGTGTAATTTAGTTTACAGCCCTACAGTAAAATTAATTCAATACCGGCCGATACATTTTTTTCATGGTGTTTTAGAAGGGATTAATTGAAGCAATAAGCTGCCAAAGTAGCCTCTGTTGTGTAGGTTAATTTTTTATTTTGGAACATATAGACAGTTTACTATATATATAATTCATGCACTTGTTGATTAGCCCAAAGGAAAATCAATGCTTGGCCGGATTATTTATATAGACTGTAGTAATAGATACGTAACAGTCTTACGGTTTCCATGTGAACAATATGTCGGTCCAAAGAAAGGCTTGTTGTTTGACAGGAATTTACTGTTAGTGTTTGATTATTACGTCAAGAATACCACTTGCAAGTTAATATTTCTGTCGAAAGACGAAATTTTGATGTTGCATGGTATCTTGTGATGGGAAGTATCATTATTTTTGAATTAATTTAAAATATACTTATGAGCATTTTTTTAATCCTTTTCCAGCTGCAAATTCTGCTTCTAATATTTCTGCTAGCATCAATTCAATTCCTATGCTTACTAGTGCAAACTTTAAAGAATGGAAAGAGAATGTATTAATCGTTCTCGGGGTTATGGATCTGGACCTTGTACTTCGGAAGGAACAACCTATTCTCTTAGACAAAAGTACTAAATATGAAAATATGGAATATGAGAGATGGGATCGTTCAAATCACATGAGTCTTATGATCATGAAGCGTTCTATACCGGAAGCTTTCCGGGATAGTGCATCTGAGGAGGTCACTACAGCTAAGGTTTTCCTTGAAACACTTCAGAAGAGATTTGCTAGAAATGAGAAGGCTGAAACTAGTACTCTTTTAGCAAAGCTCATCTCAATGAGGTATAAGGGAAAAGGAAACATGAGGGAGTACATCATGGAGATGTCTCATCTTGCTTCAAAATTAAAGGCACTTAAGTTAGACTTATCCGAGGATTTGCTCGTGCACTTAATTTTGATATCACTTCCTACACAATTTAACCAGTTTAAGGTGAGCTATAATTGTCAGAAGGACAAATGGACACTTAATGAGCTCATCACTCACTGTGTGCAAGAGGAAGAAAGGTTAAAGCAAAATAGAACAGAAAGTGCTCATTTATCTCTGACCTCAAATAACAAGAAAAGAAAGAGCAAAGAAGCTGCAGATGTCCAACCTCCTTTGAAGAAAAGGGAAAATAACCGTGGCGAGGAGCTCTGTTATTTTTGCAAGAAGGAAGGACATAAGAAGAAAAAATGCACCAAATATCACGCTTGGCGTGCTAAGAAAGGTACAATTTTTGCTACACTTTGCTCTGAGGTTAACTTAATTTCTGTTTCCAAACACACTTGGTGGTTAGACACTGGTGCAACTGTTAACGTCAGTGTAACAATGCAGGGTTGCCTGAACTGCCGAAAGCCAAGTGATGTTGAAAGATTCATCTTTGTGGGCGATGGCAAACCAGTGGAAGTGGAGGCTTTAGGCACATTTAGGTTATTATTAAAGACTGGTTATTATTTAGATTTAGAAGAGACTTACATTGTACCGTCATTCAGACGGAATTTGGTTTCTATTTGCCAATTGGACAAATCAGGTTATCATTGTACAATTGGAGATGGATTGTTTGGTCTTTTCCAGAATTCTAATAAAGTTGGTACTGGTTCTTTAATATGGAATGATAGCCTATATTTACTTGATACTGTTGCCTCATTTAATGAAGTCCTGCATACTTGTTCTCGTGGTGTAAAGAGAAAATTAACTAATGAGAATTCTAGTTCCTTATGGCATAAGCGTTTAGGTCATATTTCTAAACAAAGAATTCAGAGGCTTGTGTCTGATGGGGTTCTAGATCAACTTGATTTCACAGACTTTGATGTTTGTGTTAATTGCATAAAGGGGAAACAAACGAATACAAGGAAATTAAGTGCCCAAAGAGCTACGGATGTCTTAGAACTGATTCATACAGATATTTGTGGGCCATTCCCTACGGCTTCCTGGAATGGTCAATGATATTTTATCACGTTCATAGACGATTTCTCAAGATATGGCTATATATATCTAATTCATGAGAAGTCTCAGGCCCTGAATGTGTTTAAAAATTTTAAAGCCGAGGTGGAAAACCAACTTGGCAAAAGGATTAAATCTGTCAGATCAGACCGTGGTGGTGAATACTATGGTCGATATGATGGATCAGGTGAACAATGTCCAGGGCCTTTTGCCAAATTTCTTGAGGAATGTGGTGTCGTTCCTCAGTATACCATGCCAGGTTCTCCTAGGATGAATGGTGTTGCTGAGCGACGAAACAGAACGCTTAAGGACATGGTAAGAAGCATGATTAGTCATTCTACATTACCTAAGTCACTATGGGGAGAAGCGTTAAAGACTGCAGCTTATTTGCTCAACAGAGTTCCAACTAAAGCGACTAACAAAACCCCGTACGAGCACTGGACAAATAAAAAGCCTAGCTTAAATCATGTCCGCACGTGGGGTTGTCCAGCTGAGGCTAGGCCTTATAGGCCTAATGAAAAGAAATTGGACTTCAGGACTATTAGTAGCTATTTTGTTGGATATGCTGAAAGATCCATGGGTTATAAATTTTTTGATCCTACTACTAAGGCAATTTTTGAAACGGGAAATGCCAAGTTTTTTGAGGATGTTGAGTTTGCGAGGGGTGATAAGGTTAGGGACATTATTTTTGAAGAAATTCATGAAGAGGAATTTATTTCTTTTCCTTTGGTTATTAACAATAATCAAGATCAAGTTACTTTACCTGATTTTGTTGAAGCAAATCAAGAAAATGTCCTAGAAAATTCCTCTCAAAATCAGGAAACTACATAAGAACAAACTCAACAGTCTCAAGAACTAGTGCCATTAAGGAGATCCACTAGAGAAAGAAAAAGTGCAATTCCAGATGATTATATTATCTTTCTTCAGGAGCATGAGGGTGATGTTGGAATAGAGGAAGAAGATCCTATCAATTTTCAGAAAGCCATACAAAGCCCTAATGCACAAAAGTGGATCAATGCCATGAATGATGAGTTTAAGTCCATGAAAGACAACGACGTTTGGGATCTTGTTCCATTGCCGGAAGGTTTTAAACCCATTGGTTGTAAATGGATATTTAAAACCAAGAGGGATTCAAAGGGCAATGTGGAAAGATATAAGGCTTGTCTTGTCGCAAAAGGCTATACTCAAAAAGAAGGTATTGATTATAAAGAGACTTTCTCTCGGGTTTCTTTGAAAGACTCTTTTAGAATTATTATGGCACTTGTGGCACATTTCGATCTTGAGTTACATCAGATGGATGTGAAAACTGTGTTTCTAAATGGTGACATTGATGAAACAATTTATATGGTGCAACCGGAAAATTTTGTATCTGGCGAAGCGAATAAAATGTTCTGCAAATTAAAGAAATCCATCTATGGTCTCAAGCAAGCATCCCGTCAGTGCTATCACAAATTTCATGAAATTGTCATCTCATTTGGTTTCGAGATAAATGCAGTGGAAGATTGTGTGTAACATAAATTTAGTGGGAGTAAGGTTGTTTTTCTGGTTTTATATGTTGATGACATATTGCTTGCTAGTAATGATATAGGCTCATTGCACGAAACTAAGAGATTTCTATCAAAGAATTTTGAAATGAAAGATCTTGGTGATGCTTCTTTTGTATTAGGAATTCGGATATACCGAGATCGTGGTCGAGGTATACTTGGATTGTCACAAAAGAGCTATATCGATAAAGTTTTGGAAAGATTTGGCATGCAAAATTGTAAACCAGGAGACACCCCTGTAGCTAAAGGAGAAATATTCAATCTCAGTCAATGCCCCAAGAATGAGTTTGAAACTAAGCAAATGCAAAAGGTTCCTTATGCAGCATTGATAGGGAGTCTGATGTATGCTCAGGTTTGCACACGTCCAGATATAGCATATATAGTTGGAATACTAAGCAGATTTTTAAGCAATCCTGGATTGGATCATTGGGTAGCAGCCAAGCGAGTGTTGCGATATTTGCAAAGAACAAAGGATTATATGCTCACTTACAGAAAATCAGATCAATTGGAGATTATTGGGTATTCTGATTCTGATTTTGCTGGATGTCAAGATAGTCGCAAGTCAACTTCAGGATACATTTATCTGCTTGCTGAAGGAGCCATTTCATGGAAAAGTGCTAAGCAATCGCTAGTTGCTTCATCCACTATGGCTGCAGAGTTCATTGCTTGCTACGAGGCATCAAATCATGGTTTGTGGCTGCGGAATTTTGTCACTGGGCTGCGCATAGTGGATTATGTTGATAGACCACTAAAATTATATTGTGACAACAAATCTGCGGTTTTATATTCTAATAACAATAGGAGCTCGACAAAGTCTAAATTTATCGACATCAAGTTCCTTGTTGTGAAGGAAAGGGTTCAGAGTGGGCAGTTGTCAATAGAGCATATTGTACAAACTCCATGGTTGCGGATCCGTTTACTAAAGGTTTAGCACCCAAAGTTTTTTATGGGCATGTTGCTCGTATGGGTGTAGGCTTAATTGAAGAAATTCAATTTTAGTGGGAGTTTGTAATATTTTTAATGCATATATGATATTTTTTTCTTTAGTTAAAGGCATAAAGCTATTTGTTCCGCAGAAACACTAGTTTTTCTCACTCTGATTCATACATTTATCATGTGTGGTTAATGAAATAAATTGATCTCACTAAAGAATTAAGTTGGACCTATTGGAAATAGATATGTTATGATCACATTCATATAATTTCCTTGCTACACGTCCATGTTTGATCCATGTCATTCAGTATGTTAATATATGTGACCATTGTTTGGCTGAGTTACTCTTACTGTGACAAAAGCCGCTATGATCCTTTATTGATATAATTGATGGACCGGATTGTTGTAGGTGCTTAATATAATAATAGCATTTTTGAGCTCATACATATTATTTTGAAATATGTGTTTAACCATGTGATCCAAGTGGGAGATTGTTAGAATAATTTCCTATATGTGGATGCACATACACATATTATGGCTATTATGACAGTTGCCTCAAAAATAAAGTGATCAACTAAAGTCGTATTGGGGCCAAAGCATCTAATTATAGAAACATGGATTTATATACGTGTAGAGACCGGATGTTGTTTCCTATTCTGTGATGGGTTAGAATAGGAATCCAACAACTCAAGTTCTCCTATAAAAACAGGGTCAGGTCCCCAAAGTAGGGCACGAACCAATCCATTATATCCCGTCAATAGTTGGAGAAATTAGGTTTGCCTATTGTTTTGGAAGATCAAAACCCTCGCCGCCGATTCAACTCACAACCATGGCTACAGTTTCTGGTACGCTTCCGCATCTTAAGTTATAATATGGATTTATGATGGTGTTCTAGTTCTTAGATATGAGGTTCATAAATTATTAATTCTAACAGGCCGACCGACACGTACCGGCTCTCCATCACCAGAGCGCTTCATCACCTTCCCAGAGGACCAGTTCACGAGGACAAACGACCGGTGCCCCTCAGCATCTGTCACGCGTCCGGTGTTCTGGAAGCTCACGATCCATTGCTACCGAGAGCTCAAGCATAGAGACGTAAGTCAAGTGAAACACTGCTGATTTCCTAGGCAAAGCAACTGATCATAGGGCGGGCTATAGTACGCGACGCGACTTTATGTCGATGTCGGCGAGCACGACCACACCGTCACGAACAGAGAGGAAGAGTGCCTGGTTGCTGTGGCAGACGACGCGGAGGGGCTTCTCGTGCTCCAGCACGCCGCCACCGCACGGAACCATCCGCCAGATCTGGTTCAGGCCTTCGTTCCACCGGAACAATATGAGCCGCGTGCCGTCGCGCGCGCCGCCGTACTGCGGGGTGTCCTCCTCTGCGTCGAATATGTAGTCGGCGTTGTTCATCATGTGGATGCGCCTGTAGCCGTCGGCCACGTCCACGCTCGCAGTCCACAGGACCGACTCGTCCAGATACCCCGGCTCAAACTTGATCACCCTTACCAAATGATTTGGTGAAATACAAACGTCATCTTCATGTTTAAACCTACTCTTTAACTCTCACAAGGAAACGGCAGCAGGGAGAACGAGGCCGGGGATGGCAGCAGTTGCTTACAGGGCAACAGTAGCCCAAGGAGTGTTTGAGGGCATCGCCAGTGGCCTTGTTCACGAGTGCGAAGGCAGGACGGCCTGCCTCGTCCTTGATGCCGGCGCTGTATTTTGCGTCCTTGTGCCAGACCTACATTGTAGAAAGCGTACCAGTATCATACAACGAGTGCAGAGATGATCTTGGGATACTGCTGACCATACTGACGAAGGGTGCACAGCGCAAGGACGTGGTGTGCATGGCGGAGACGATGGAAAAGTGATGCAGAAGGGAAGTGAAGAGGCCTTGCCTGACGGTCGTCGCGTGGGTCGGACTTGCCGAGGATGACCTCGCCGTTAACGATGGTGAGTCTGAGGACGTCGGACGCGCGGCACTGGATCCTGAACATGTGAGCCATGGCTGGTAGTAGTGGGCTAGCGGTGCGCCTGTGGGTGAAAGCAAAAGTGCAGAACTGTTGGCTTTTGTAGTCACTTGGAACTTGGAAGACGGAACGGTGGCAGATTCCACATGTTCGTTCAAACTTCCAATGGTAGAGAAACTATCTTTGTTCGGTCGGCCAAAATCAATAATAGAAAGACTAAAGATGATCTTTAGTCCCGGTTGATGGCTACAGTGGGCATATTTGATCTTTAGTCCCGGTTCTAAACCTGTCAGGCCTTGTCAGGTCCCCTAGGATCTTTACTCCCGGGACTAAAGATCCTAACTTTACTCCCGGTTGGTGTTATCAACTGGGACTAAAGATCTAGAAGATTTTTAGTCCCGGTTGGTATTACCAACCGGGACTAAAATTCAACGCTTCTTCCCTATCCTCTCCTTCACAACCGCCTCGCACTTATCCTCTCAGATCGATCTCCCTCCCCTCCTCCCCTCCTCCCTCTCAGATCGATTTCCCTCCTCCTCCCCCTCCGCCTCCTCCCCTTCCCCTCTCATCCCCGGCCCTCTCCTCCCCCTCCTCCCTTCCCACGCAGCAGGCGGCCGGCTAGGCCGCGCACGGGCCCAGTGGCGAGCGGCGGCAGGCGGCAGCCGCTGCCGGCATCTTTTTTTTTTTACAATTTGTGATTCACTAAGATGTATAATTTTATGATTTATTGCATGATCTGAGATGTATAATCTGTGATGTATTTGGTTTGTGTGTAATTTTTTTAAAATTTGTGATGTATTTGATTTGTGTGTATAAGTAACTTAAGATTTGTGATGTGAATGTTTTGGGATGTTACTTTGATTTGAGGTTTGATTTGAGGATATGTATCCCACTTGATTTGGGGATATGTATCCCACTTGATTTGGGAGAAAATACAAACAATAAGAAAAAGACCTAATGGGACTAAAGATACCCTCTCTTTAGTCCCGGTTAGTGTGTTACTAACCAGGACTAAAGATAAAGTATCTTTAGTCCCGGTTTTTCAACCGGGACTATGAATCCGGGACTAACCGGGACTAAAAGGGGTTACCAACCGGGAGTATAAATGGTTTCTCCACCAGTGTTCGAACTTGATAGGAGTAAATTGACGTCGCGACGGTTCATGCTCCCAAGGCATGGGGAAGTTCGTCCGCCGTGTTGAAGACTTGAATTCATGACTATCATCCCAAGGCACTAAAAAAAGAATAAGTTCATTTTATGTCTATTAATTTGTCACCCAATCTAATTTTCGTACTTAAACCTAAAAACTAGATACAACTATCCCGAACTTACAAAACTAATGCAAAAGAGATCTCTCGATAGTATTGTTATTGGTTTTGGTTAAAGTGACGCTTATATAATTCATTTGACTATATCTTTGTTCAACGTAACATTAACGTGGTGTTTACGTGGCAGTTTAATTCAGAAGAAAAAAAATAAAAGAAGCAAAATTAAAAATTAAAAACTAAAACAAAATATGGGAGCCCACATGTCAGTCAAACAAGATAACAAATAGTAGGACCCAATATCCCACTTCCTCCACCTCACTCTATCTCCTCGAGCTCATCACCGAGCGCCGCCATTGTCGACCATGACACACCGGAGGGGTAGAGGAGATGCGAGGGGATAGGACGGGAGTGACGCCCATGGCGAGGACGCCATACACCGATGTCATCTCCGCCACCCTATCAGTGCCCAGCTCTTCCCTCGCCTAGTGTCCTTCACGCCAGTCTTGTGGCCCGCTCGCCTCCACGATGAGCCTGTATGGCTGGATCAAGGTTTACCTTACCGTTTTGGGAGAGGTTATCCCCCTCCCCTCCCACCCCCAGCGGTAAGGCTGTTACCGTGATAACCGCCGAAAACTGTGTGAATTTAGTCAGAAAAAATTTGGCAGTTTCGCAGTAACTGCGATATTTGCAGAAAACATATACAGAAATTGGGGAAGAATATATAGAACACTTGCATAACCTACCTTGTGGATGTAAAATACAAAAATGAAGCCCCAATACATTTTTCTTTTTTCTATTCCCTAAACAATTATCGGTTTTGCCCTCAAATTTGATTTTATCTTACTCTTCTTCAAAAAAAAAAATTCTTCACCATCTACCATTAAAAATCAAGAACTACATCTATGATTTTTTTTGATTTTTTTTCCAAAAATTTGAATTTGCTCAAAATTTCTCAAACCCTAACCACTTGTAACCGATCCCCTCCCTTCGCGGTAAGCGCGGTAACTGCGATTACTGCGCAATAACGTGAACCATGGCTTGGGGAGAAGCGGGCCCTTGAACCGCATGCGCAATCGCAGCTGCACCGGCTTCGCCCTCGCCTGTGTGCAACGTGGCTAGCTTCGGCGCCCCTCGGTCTGCCCATCTCCTCCCTCACCGTCCCCCTCGCCGGCCTTCCCACCTCGTCCCTTCTCTACACACACTTGCTGGTTGAGAAAGGAGATAGAGCTAAAGAGGATGACGTAGAGGAAGTATGGCCCACTGACATGTGGGTCCCATTATTTTTTATCTTTTCTGTTTGGTTGATATGTGGTCCCCGTATATTTTATGCTAACTTTTTATTTTCAATTTTGCTTTTTTATTTTCCTAATTAAACTGTGATGTAAGCATCACATCTATACCACAAGGGGACGAAGACCTAGTTAAATGAGCCATATAGGTGTCACGTTAGTTAAAACCAGGAAAATATTGTCAAAGAACCTCGTTTGCATTGGTTTTGTAAGTTGGGGATGTGTTGTATCTAGTTTTTAGTTAATAAATCAGACTGGGCAACAAATAGAGGGAGCTAATGTAAACTTATTCTTTCAAAAAATTTCCTCAGTGATAGGCCCACCTCGCATAACTCCTGGATGGGCCAGAAGACTACTCCGTAGATCAGATGCTTTCCCTACCCGTCTCAATGTAGCCAAGCCCAATATATTAGTGGAACCGTAGCGATCGTGCGGGCACCGTGATGACCCGTGTGCCGGCTGCCGCTGAGAGGCCTTCTTTTATCTCACCGGCACGGCCCATGGTGCGCTACACGGTACGCACGCCTGCGCCGCCGCGTCGACTTCGTCACGCATGTGAACTTCTAGCTCGGCCGCCACAGCTCTAGCTCCCAAAAACTTTATGCAGTTTTTCGGGCACACGCGTCGTTTTCCCTGACTAAACCGTTCTCACAGATGCGAATTTGACACCTCCTACTCCGATCCCCCACACACTCGTTAGTCGTGTCAAAGTTCAAAGCATGGGCGCGCAGCAGGTATACTTCCACGTTTAGAAACTGACTATTTTTCGATTTGTTTATGGTGTGTTACACACAACACATGTTGGAACACGGCCGGCCAGAAAAAGGCGCAGCGGCAACCTGCAAAGCCTTCCTGACAGAGATTGGACTCCGGCCGGGCCGGTAGATCGAGAGAAAAGAAGGACCGATCGATATGATCGATCGTTCGTGCGAGAGCCCCCACGAGCCACGAGGCCAACACGTACTCACGCGCCGTCGCGCTCGCGCGCGCGGTGTGTCCCGTCCCGACACGCGGAGACACGCCCGAGATCCCGGAGCTATACCTTGGCCGGCCGGGGCGACGTTGTCGTCTCACGACGGCACGCGAGCTAGCTCCAGCCCGATCGATCGATCGGGCGCGTCTCGCGCGTCTCTGCGTGCGGCCGCGACCGCGAGCAGACCGCGCGCGCTTTGCTCCACCGGCAAACCATGGCGCGGCGCACGCCCGCATGCGGGCATGCGGCAGCGAACCTTGCCGGCTGCCGCTGGCGGAGACAGGGTCGTACGTTCTCCTGGTCTGGTGCATGCCTATGAATCGATGGGCCAAGAGAACGCCAGAACGGCAGCGCGACAGCGTCATTGTTCGGTCTCTCGGTTGCATATGGGAGCTAGCTAGGCGCACCAGGGGTCCCAGTAAGCCGGCCGAGACGTGACGCCGTGACGGTTTCTTGTCCACCAGTGTCCTCTCTGGTCTCTCTCTCGCCCAGCGATCCAGATCACCTGCGAGAAACTTTCTTGTGTGATTCTTGACAACAACTGAAACTGATTAACTGAAACCGTGTGAGAGCTGATGGTCACAGCCTGACACAGGAGAACGTAGAATCTGCAAACAGAGTGACGAAGCAGAGTAGATGACAACCGGCGGTTTCAACTACTTTAAGGGTGGGTTTGAGGGATAAGGGATTGAGAAGATTGAAAAGATACGTAAAATTAGATGAGCCATTAGCGCATGATTAATTGAGTATAAACTATTTTAAATTTTAAAAATGGATTAATATGATTTTTTTAAGCAACTTTCCTATAGAAATTTTTTTGTCAAAAGTGCATCATTTAGTAGTTTGGGAAGCGTGCACGTGGACTACGATGTACTTTCTCACCCTAAGAGCATGTACAATAGCATGCTATAAGCCAGCTATAAATATATTTTAAAGAGATAAAAGAAGAGAGAGAAGAGTAGCAGGCTACAGATCTGTAGCTAGCTGCAGCACGGGCTCCAAGACATAATGTGTGTATGACAGGTGGGACCAGCTATTGATAGTATAGTAAGTATCTATTGTATGAATTGGCTATTACATTGGCTATAGATGATTTGGAGCTAGTAGTGGACTATATTATTAAACTTGCTCTAACTCACCAGAACGAACGATCCCTAAGAGCACCGATGTCGGCTAACAAAGCACATGGGAATTGAGACAGCTAGTCAGCTGCTACCATACAATGAATTGTGCTGGACGCGATTGAGATAGGGCCAGTTCAGGGTCGATGTTCAGACAGCGTGGGGTTCCTTTCAGCATCAAGGTGAACTTGTACAGAGCAAACGCATGTATGCTACAAAGGGCAACTGCATGCAGATACTCGGGACAATTCGGGACAAGATGACAAAAATGTGCCATAACCTTGAGAACCAATCTGCTACTTACTACAACTGAAATAGTGCTCATCCACAACTGAAATTAAAGACTTTCCCATATACCTAGCTTCTGTTATAGCCATTTTTGTAG